AATGGGTTTAACACATTGTACTCATGTCGGGAATCGAACCCTGATCTCCGGCGTGACGAGCGAACGCTTTAACCACTAGGCTACTCGACCGCCCCATATTAAGTGAGTGAGTGAGTGAGTGAGTGAATGTTACAGTCAGACATATCGAATTACAAGTACATTTTTTTTAATGAATCATGCTACAGTAAATGTTAGCAAAATTGAAAAGTAACGAAAATGATCAAAGTCCTATTAAAATATCAAGTTTGTGTTTTCACTTACTGGAATAAACATTACTTACTTGAAAGAAAATATATATGGTTTTGACCATATTGTCAGTGTATGTGCAATTTCCGATCAAAAGGGTGGGCTTATTCTCTTGCATTGACAATTTATATTGAGTGAGTTGTCGGGGTATATCGGCTGTCCAGACACTAGTATCTAATTGTAGTTAACGATCCACTATCGTAAATACCATATAAACAAGTCTTTAGTATTAGTTTACATTCACAGTTCTATGTACAGCTGTCTCTGGCCTGAGACACAAGACTGCCTGTTACTACTTCATGTTGATGGTCGATCCTCCGTGTGCCGCTACAGAGATGCTTCTTCCTACCATGTTTACACTCGGGGTGTCCTCTGACGTCACATGTCACAGTGAAATAACCGGAACAAGCTTAAGCCAGAAGGGAGTAGACGAAATCAGACGTTGCTGTCAACAGTGTGAGAATGATACAGTGACAGCATACTGCCTCCCTGCCATGAAGAACCAACTCCCGGATCACTACTACCTGGACTTTGTGAACACGTGCACGGCCGCTACAAAATGTCAGCTATCTTCACCTGGAAGTCGGGTGCAGAATACTGGTGGTGCAGACTATGTAACATTCACGTTTGAATGTGTGAACAGTGAGTAGTGTCCATTATGAAATAATGTTATCAGCTTCCTGTATGTCACCCCCTCCCGATAACTGTGTTGCAAAAAACAATCATTTTTCTAATGTGTTTTTCTTTCCGCTTTTAAGCAGTTTTTAGTTTCGACAAAATCGATATTGTCACTGTCTTGTCTGGTCCACTATCACTGGATTGTCAAGACTTGATTGTTTACACGCCGTCGTATTACAGGAGTACTGCAACAAAGGAACACTAACTTGTGAGAGTGTTGGGTGCTACCGGTACCACGGGACATACTTTACCATTTCCACCTACACCTGGTGTCATCACTAAGTGTCAGTTATCCAATTCATATACTGTTCATCGCTATTTGGCCTATTAATGTTAGTTGAGTCTGTTTGGGGAGATAATCGAGACTGACTATTCGCTGGCCTTGACTCTATTTTTTGTCCATTCTTTCATTGTTGCAAGTTTTGGTACTCAGTTATAACATACCCGATTATAATTACACGCTTCGCGTTTCTTTATTTTGTAATTGTACAATACAGTTATTTAATATGCACTGTCATTTATTACAGTGTAGAGATGTTTTCGGTCAGTCGTAAATCTGTTAATCTCAACTAGAAACAACTACCTCAAGTATTTCAAATAGTGTTGTTTTCCATTTCACAGTTATTTTGCAAGAGATGGAGGCATGCATGTCTCATTCTCCTGAGGTGCCATAAATGTAACTTTCTATGTTGCGTCCCTAAGTCCTCTCATGATTCGATAATCATTGCTCTGATTCCATATTCGTCCTTGTAATGATCCTTGTTTTGTCAGCACCTCTGGCGTGTATATGCGTTTCACTGAAGTAAATGTCTGTGACGTGCAGCTTGTCTTTGGGCTTCTCGCCCATAGTCTCAGGCGCCGCAGTCCACAGTGCAGAGTTGCGTCAACGAGACTACCAGAACCCTGTAATCAGGTGTAGGAAACCAAGATTGTGTCTTCGTCTAAGGCTCCGCGATTCGCTGTGCACAGTTGTGTCCCATGCGCACGCCAGAAACCTATGATTGTGGGTTCGAATCCCGGTTCGCCCTGATTAAGTTCCTAGGTTTGTCAACTACATACCCATGCTCGTGGGTTTCACCGAAGTGGTTAACATCTACATTACTTCGGGCTTTCCTCCCACATTAAGCTGCCACGTCGTGATATGACTGGAATACTGTTAAAAGCAGCATTAAACCTTTGTGTCTTGGTTTTTGTCAGCATCATACCAGTTGTCGTGTGTTCTACCAATTTGGTAAAAGTCTTTGAACTACATCAGTTCTGGTTTCCTTCCAAACTAAGCTGACACGCCGTGATTCAGTGAAATACTGTTCAAAGCTGCGTTAAACTTAGACACTTACTCACTTACACATGAATGGGAAGGGGAAGATAGATATATTATTCCAAATACTAGATCGTGTTAACAACTTCATTTGGTCTTTATTATGTATTATGTTTTTAAAAGCATGAGGTCAATGGATATTGTTTTCAATACCTGTTTACAATGAACACTAGTACATCTACCGTCGTGGGTCGATGCTCATGATGTCAATCACTGCCGTTACATAGATTGAATATTGCTGAGTGCAGCAACAAACAAACAAACTAACGAACTCAAAGGGACCACAATTTTTTGTTCATAATGAAGCATATTCACAGCATATATACAACAAATGGCCGGGACTAAAAAATAAATTCGTTATATCGGTCAGTTCGTTATAAGCGTCTTCTTTATAAACGTAGCTTAGTTATATACATTTATACACAACTTAAATGTCTTGGCCATCCTTTTCAGAGGACACGGTGCTGCACATCCAACGTGATTCTACACACACAGGACAGGAGGTGTACCTTTACAACGACCAACATGACGGGGAGGCCCATGCTAACTGTCTAGCATACTCTCATGAGTGTAACTCCCATGTCATAATACAACTTGCTGCAACCCGAGTTGTGTCACCCGCCTGTAGTGTGGACTTCACTGATTGGGATGTGTCAACCAAGGTGGACTGTAACAATACATCTGCATCAAGAAACTGTTCCAGCACAATGTTTGAGAGCAAGTCCAACTATGTTAACATGTCAATAGTCATGACAGTCGATCCTGGACGTCAAGAAAAAGAATTTCTTTGGTTGCGGGCGAAAGGTAAGTGATTAATAATTATATTTGCCCTGATGTGTTGGTAAACCTGGAAATGTGACTAAATGTCTTGCGGAAAAAGTCTTTGATGGCAATCTGACGTCGGCTCTGACGTCGTGCCTTGTTACATTGTTATCATATCATGTGTGTTAAACTAGGCTTAAGGATAAACACAAAGATTTTTAGGATATGCTGTTTGTGATCTGTATTCATGTATCAAGAATATCAAGGAGCAAAACCTACCTGTAACTTTCACTCAAATCAAAATGCTTAAGCATGAGTTGCTGAGTATCGTTATGTTGAAGAACATCATAATAATCATAACAATTGCTACCTTTTCTACCGTCACACCTCTCCCTCAGAGCATTCCGTATTTCAGTGAACAAATGCACGCACGTGTGACACGGTCTCAGAGTGAACGTTACTTTGCAACTACTGCTGTATGTACATGGCATATCGTCAACATGGCTTCACTCGTCACAAACATATATATACTGATCATATTAATCATAAAGTGGCCGCTAAAATGTAAAATACTTAATAAAATAACACTTAGTGCTTTCAATTTCCCCCATGTTACCTACCGGTTATTTTGCTTAGGTTTATTCCTTTGATAAACTGTCAGATAATTGTACCAAAGATATTTATTCCAATGTTTTGTGTTAAGAACCTTTGGAAAAGAAATGTTTCCATACTTGTTTACTGCTGCATCTCCCTCTCACTCCTGGTGCTTTTACATAGATAAAGAGGGGGAGGGTTTCATGCCAAAACACGCCAAACTTCTTTGTTCAGCACCGGAACACGTGGTATGTTTATCTCCGTTCCGCAGAGTGAACGCGAACATGTTTGCGAAAACAGTATGGATACCAATGTACTGTGTAGGCTAAACAGAGGGCCCAGTCGTCTGAGGCGCCGCGATTCGCTGAGCAGAGTTGCGTCCCATGCGCACGCCAGAAACTATGATTGCGGGTTCGAATCCCGGTTCGCCCCGATGGTGTTTCTAGGTTTTCAGCACCATACCCATGCCCGTGGGTTTCACTGAAAAGGTAAACGTTGGAGACCTTCGGGCTTTCCTACTGCGGAAAGCACGATATAACTGGAATACTGTTAAAAGTGGTGTTTCACTCAACTCACTACTCACTCACTGTGTAGGAAAAATGTTCTAATGGATTAGTGACAGTCCGCAGTTGTCTCCGCATATATATTCAAGGTGTAATTCTCAATAAAATATTTTAATCCCGCCTGTGAGAGGTAATACAAGCAGCGCAAGAAGACTAGCGGAAATACCAAGTAAACATTATTTAACCACATCCCAGAGCAGTGAATCGATCCTTGCGGTGTGGAGATCTAAAGTACACGCCACTATTATGACGTCATAATGTCCTAGAGACAAGAAGTCGAAGCAATAGCGCAGGAAGTGTTACAGCAACGCAAACTGATGTCAATGTTTCAAACATTTCAGAAGTTTCGTCCCTTTCAAAAACTTAGGATGCACTGTATGACACAGTGTTTATTGGGAACAATTTGTGTTTGCATGAAATAATCTACCGTTAGGTTTTGAGAAACAAGTCATTTTGAGATTTTTCGGTGATCTGTTGTCAACCTCATGATGGTCGAGCGTTGATAAGATACATAGTTGTCCTGGAAGAACACTCAAACAAGTGAATGCACATGTACATATATTATTCAATTGTCTGCAGTATATTGTTCAATTGTATCAATAACCACTTTCATATTTACCTACCACATCGGTAATAACCTACCGCGCATGTAGTGTTTGACTAAATAATATATGGCATGGTAGCCAGTACATAATTTGAAATTAATAAAAGTACATAAACTGACGCTGATGGCGATACTACGGGTGTTGTTGTAAACACTGCCTGTCTAATTTATTTCATGAATTGGTGCGGATATACATGAGTATGTGTAGTATTGTTCAATAATCATTTTGTTGTAGCGGATACAGGTAAGAATGTTACCGTCGTCTGTGGAGCCAACATTCCTGCAGATGTGTCACTGAACTGTCCAACTTCTGCATCAACTACTACGACATCAACTCCTACAACTACAGCTACTGATGTTGCTGCTACCACTGTCACTACTACTACACAAACAGTGACCTCTAATAATGCACCAAGCAAACACAGACCGTTAGCGGTAACATCATCAACTGGTAAGCCACAGGCACAATCTACAATAACAACATATGGAAGGACAACGATATACAATAACACAGGTGGCCCAGTCGTCTAAGGCGCCGCAATTCGCTATGCAGAGTTGCGTCCCTTGGACACGCCAAAAACCTATATTTGTGGGTTCGAATCCCGGTTTGCCCCGGTTATGTTTCTAGGTTTGTTAGCACCACACCCGTGCTTGTAGGTTTCACCGAAGTGGTTAACGTCTAAGACCTGAATCACTTCGGGCTTTCCCGCCGCATTAAGCCCACGCCCCGCACACGCCGTGCTATAACTGGATGAGTGTAAAAAGGAACGTTAAAGCCAACTCACTCACTCAGTGTGAACGGCATTTCCTCCGTTATCACGGCCCGCCATTCCAGTCCAAATAGTCCCACAACACACGCGCAGCAGAGTGGAGTCACAGAAACGACGTCAGGTACACGCAGTAAATTAACTTAGAAACTCTCTCTTTTCAAGAGGTTTCCTAACTTTTTGATAGTGATTCATACCGAACAATGGACGCTGTTTTCGGCAAATAATTTTTATGATAAATGAAATGGTTTTGTCCCTTCATGTATGTATCATACACTCTAATATATATTCGCAGGCCAAGTTTTAGTTTTCGTTTCCACACGTGCACATGGTTACCACTTTTTGGTTGGTTGTCCGCTGTACGAGTATAGACATGTGTAATCACTTCAGGGGCAAGGTAACCACTGGTTGGTTGTCCGCTGTACACGTATAGACATGTGTAATCACTTCAGGGGCAAGGTTACCACTGGTTGGTTGTCCGCTGTACAAGTAAAGACATGTGTAATCACTTCAGGGGCAAGGTTACCATTGGTTGGTTGTCCGCTGTACACGTATAGACATGTGTAATCACTTCAGGGGCAAGGTTACCACTGGTTGGTTGTCCGCTGTACAAGTATAGACATGTGTAATCACTTCAGGGGCAAGGTTACCACTGGTTGGTTGTCCGCTGTACAAGTATAGACATGTGTAATCACTTCAGGGGCAAGGTTACCACTGGTTGGTTGTCAGCTGTACACATACAGACATGTGTCATCATGGATGGATGTCTTGATGGATGTCTTGATGGATGTCTTGATGGATGGATCATGGATGGATGGGTGGATGGATGGATGGATGGATGGATCGATGTTTGCTCGGATGAGGTAGGCTGGCCTGAAAAGTGTAACAGAAGGGTTTCTGATTGCTGCTCAGGACTAGTCACTTTCGAAAGTGTTTTTGCAGCAAAATGTAAATATGAAATGTAGATAATGCAATGAATTGAATGAGACTTCCAACGCATGAATCCATGCTTGCTATAAAAGGCGACTATGCTGGTCGTAAGAGGTAACTAACCAGATCGGGTGGTCAGGCTCGCCGACTTGGTTGATGCATGTTCCAATTGCGTGGATTGATGATCATGATGTCAATCACTGGATTGTCTGGTCCAGACTCGATTATTTAAAGACTGCCATCATATACCTGGAATATGGAGTTCGGCGTTAAACAACAAACAAACGAAACGACATTAACTGCCGGGCAAAAGAAAGTAAACACCCATATTTGATGGTGGCTAAAATAGAAACAACCAGGAAATGGTTTTTCGATGGTGATATATTTTATACGGGTATCATAGATGTGTTTTGGACCTTAATTTTGCAGTGTCTCGGCGACTGTTTTCAGCCTAGTAACCATTTGATAACGCTTGTAATTTTTGGTCAAATCCAATTTAAAAGTGTACACTTTCTTTTATCTAAAAATCACGCGTGGGCAATATATGTAAACACTTGGCATTTCACACTACTCATACTACGACATTGTATCCCAACATGGCAACTTCATTGACTCTCTTAATCTGCCTCTAGTCAGAAATTGTAGTTCGTTCCCTATTGCTGAAACCGTTACATATATCCACATTCACTTGTTTTTTATACCTCGTGGGAATCTGGGTCAGACAAGTTCAATGGCACCCGGTTGGTTGTTGTACGAGGCCACCAAATGAGATCAGCAGGTGCGACTTGGCTGATTGCATGTCATTCTGCACCAATGACCTCGACCGGTGTTCATGTTTTCTTTCATATGTTTGTGAGGTCAAGAATTGATTTTATCTCGCCTAAATATTGCTACTGCAGTGAGAATCAATAGTTGCGCACCCAATTGTATTCAACGCAAGCTGCATGCTCTCAAGACATTTTATCTATCGTGTTGTCAGAGGCCACTTCACCAATGGATAATGACATATCGACTCAAGCTGCAACAACAAAAACTCTTCCTTCAACACAAGAAACTCTTCCTTCAACAGAAGAAACTCTTCTCTCAACACCAAGCAAAGGTACTCAAAGTTGGAAGTGTGATGTGAAGCTAATGTAATATTCAATACTGGCTCCCGAGGGTGATGTCCCTTGTGTGAGATCCTTCAGTATCTCGGGAGATAACAATAACAATAATAATACATGCTCAAATCGCACAAAGTGATGGAGATATTAAAAAATAGCACTTTCCTGATCACCAACTGATCGATTGACATTAACATCGACTTCAGGTTTACATTAACAAATCTGACACCAGTGATTCTGTTTATAAATATACTTCTTTTCACTTCCTGATTACTCCCTTAACATACCGAAATCTATGGTTACTGACAGATGGAAAATGGACAACATCCCAGCATCCACAGTCTGCTCCACAACTTAAAAGTGGTCATCAATAGCCATAAATTCGAGGGTCTTCTATTACATTCTCCATTTGGGCAAGACAACCAAGCGGTAGTCACACCGCCATTTTGGAAGAGGTCAACCGCTTGGAGCTGTTGCAAACCCTGGGATGAGCGATTAATATGCAACACGCCCCACATTTACAGTGGTTGTATATCTCAACAGAGTCTTTGGCCTCTTGTTTACCATTCAAAGGAACGGCATTTTGTCTAGCTTCCATTTTGAGTTAATGAACGCACGTAATTACAATGAATAGGCATTGATTCCTTATAGATGTTGTACCATTGCATAAGCCAAGAAGGCCACGAATAATGGTCATCAAATCAAAGGTGTACATGTACTTGAGAATGATATTGGATAAATAAAATGCCCACCCTGGCAAATATATCATCAACATTCTTCTGTTTCAGCACTGATGGCGTTTAATTGATACCAACAACCTTATTGACGTCATGTTTAATGACGTCACAATAGATTAACGTCAAATCGTATAATTTATGACGATTGATCAAGCAAGCCCTCGCGACACATAATTCAATATTTCAATTTCGTCACTACAACTAAAATGTGGACGAAAATGGATCACAAAATGGTTGAAATAATGATTCGTGACTCACAACGACACATTCTAATGTAAAACTGTATGTATCTAATACTACGGCATATGTTAACAGAGGCGCTTATCATCGGCAGCAGTGTGGGAGGAGTCATCATGATAGCAATCATAGTGACAATCACAGTCTGTGTCCGACGAAAGAAAAGGTAAAAGCTTTTACAATTAGTATTACCATATCCGAAATAACATACCCATACATTTACTCCACATGGAATTAGTCATACATGAATCGTTGTAGACTTATGTATATATTGCTTCGCAATTCAGGAGTTTATTTGTAATTGATCTTTCATTTATCGTTCTAAAATGAACATGCACACGATAGCTATTGATATTGTATAAATCAGTGAAATCTCTCCAATTTCGTTTTCTTCTGTAAAAACATGATATAAGATAATTTAAAGAAGAGAGTTTATGGATGTCAACTTTGTTGTTATGAGGATCACAACATTTCGGAATATATGCTTACTCCTTCATCTGGTGATATGTATTTGCTATATCCGGATACATATATATGTATAAGCAATGAACACTCGATCATTGGTCTTACTGGTGCCAGAATACGATCATGGTGCAATAATGGTATATGGATCGGTATAGTTAAATAATAAATAGGTTGGTTCAAGAAGTATTCCTAAATTAAGCCAATGCATACGAGCATATAACAAGCAAGCAATATATTTATTGCATATATAGAGCCTTCATTATACCTACTGAATTCATATTTTCTAGAAACAGTTCAGAGAAAACAAATCCAACACGTGGACACATGGAAGAAAACCCAATCTATGAAGGAACTGATGACTACAAGCTGGAGCAATTGCACAGGAAGACTAGCGGTGACATTAACGAGGGATATGAACCCGGACTGGAGTCACTTTGTGGCTTCACGCACTCAGGACCAGCACGTTCGGGCCTCAGTCTGGGCAAAACCTCCTGGGTGACGCAAGGACACCTTGACTATTTTGACGGCAAAGTTTTCAATACAGAGCCAAGTGAGGGACATTCAGAAGAGAAAAGCGACGGAAGAGTTTCAGATCTCTATGCCAAGGTGAACAAAGCACAGGGCACTGATCAGGTGACGGATGTGTATACTCAAGTAGACAAACCCAGGAAGCCTGCGTGTGGAACATCCGGGCAGTACTCTGATGGAGATAACCCAGGGCAGGATGAGGACCTTGATGCCATGTACGCAAAGGTTCAGAAGAAGTGACTCGACATTTGAAGGTCATCTGTATAAGGACATCATATTGTGAATGCATTAAGCCGTAAACTATGCTGGAAGAAATTGATCGCGTTTGTATGCTTTAAAGGTGATGTTTTGCATTATTCTATGAAACCCTGTATCATGTGCATCTACACGTGGGCGTATTGTCATGCACTTTTAAATTACACATGACATTGAATTAAAAAATTATGTTCTCACTGGATCCCCACAAAATGCGATGCTATTGTGCTTAAAAGCATCCTTACAATCAACATAGGTAATTTTTTCGCATCTATTATTTAATTGCTATCAAAGATGTGTTCTCAAAGTATGTTCGCACTTGTAAAACGTCTTATAGATTTTAGCTCAAGCTCGTATTTATCCTTTTCTGTCCACGATTGTTGTTCATTCTGCAGTAACAAATGTTTACTTATTAGTGCATATAGTTGTCTATTGCTTGTGTTTATTGATTTTTGAGTGAAACATTTTTGCGCATTTTCCCAAACATTGCAATTTGGGAGCTGGATAACACTATGTTCATATTAATTCCATTAACTATGCTGTTCGTACATAACCAAAGTGCGGGTGTAATTCTGTGTGTTTTTCACTACCATGTTAATTGTTCACCTGAAAGAAACATCTGATCATATGGTACAAGTCAAAATAAGGAACTGCCTCGGACATCATGTTTGTGACTGATGCATCAAATTTCGAAATGTCCTCCACATGTCTACCATCAAAACCTTTTGAAAGCTTTACTGAGACCTTGAATGTTGTAACCTTAATCAAACAACTTCTGAGCAAGAGTCGTATGACGCTCTTTGAAATCTTGGGTTGAAAGAGCATGCTCGATCGTATCTCAAGAGTTGTGAAACGTAAACACCAAAGGCTGGAGCAGCTGGAATATTGCTCGACCTGTAGGGAAAGTTGACTATTGGAAAGTTGAACTCATCACTCTTGTCATACAGTCTTGAGGAGAGTGTTTTGTCACTCTGAATCTTTATGCATAGATCTAAACATGAAACAGATGAGGCGGTCTCACTGGTCTCCTTTTTATAGTTCAGGTGGGTAAATCAGTAGAAGGGAATTGTCCATTTGATTGTTATTGAACAATATGAGATCATTGATATACCTGAAGCTTAAGTTAAACTTAAATATGCATAAAGAAACAGGTACGCAGGAAGGGGAGCACAATTGGTGCCCATGGGGATGTCTACTTCTTGCCTAAATGTCTAAATGACCCCCAAATTTTACGTAGATGTTATCAATGAGGAAGTCCAGCATTTCACATATTGTTTTCTCAGTAAACATCAGATGGCATTTGCTTTCATTTTTCATAAAGTGTCCTGAACCTCTGAATATTGTCACGTTACTGTATCTGTGTTCACCACATTTTGTAACAAAAGCCCCATGGATCAAGCAATGAAGTTTTCCCTTAAGTGCGTCATGTTAGATAGTGGTATACAAAGTTGAAAAATCAAATGTTTTGACAGAATGGAACATGGTTCTTTTCTGAGATTGCAGAACGTCAAGCAAACACTTTGAGGATATGAGAAACCACATGGTATAAATTCCACTTGTCTCAAATACTTTCTGTGAATATAAATAAAGTCCTTCCTTGTTTGTATTAAGGATTATGGTCAGTCTTTGGCAGGGATTTGGTGGTATATTTGGTGGACCCAGCCATATGTCTCTCTTTTGTACGGACTTTTATTTAGCTTTGGAATCCAGTACAGAAGAGAAATGGACATGTCTCAGCTTTTAGAGTTAAGTCAAAAGTTGACAGTACTGATTTATGGTTTGGGCAGATTACTTCCTCAGTTAACAGACTGGCCTTATATGTGGCATTATTTGATATATCATTTATACCATGTTCTTTGTTCAAGCAATTAATGTAGTGATGCTTACATATAATGGTTATGCTATTTGAGGCCTTCTCAGTGGGAACAGCTTCAAACTTTTCTTGTAGGGCAGCCAGGGCAGGATAAGAGCTGGTTGGGACAGAATGTGTTTATTCCAATTCCGTTTCCTCTTTTTAATTTTATGCATTCTAATGAATGACAACATCACGCACTGACTTTAAAACACGAATGAATACAATAACCTTTCAGTGATTTCTTTGGCTAATACTGTGTTCAACGTTCAAGGTAGAGAACTAAATGAAACTGTCAGATCTTACTCTATTCTTATCACAGTCAGCAGACACTCATTCGGTGTTGACAATTATTAAATTACGAAAATCGTTCTGCCAAATCTTACATTGCTGGGTATAGATTATTTATTCATTTTTTGAAAGTTTTACATGAAAAAAAGCGAGCGAATAGAGATTTTTTATGACAATGGAAATGTTTTTGTTGCTTTTATACAGCAAATGTTTCATAGCACTAATATTAGAATGATTCGACGATTTTAAAACGTTTATATCATTTGCATGAGATTTGATTATTGCTCAAAGCAGTAAAACTCATGTGTCAATACTAGGACTTCTTCACGAGGCAAGAACGAACTGACTGTAACAGCCCAGTTTCCACCCTTGCTGGAATTTCTGGGTTCGGTCGTAGCGCCACAAGTGGCCATTACGAGTTATGTCCCTTCTACGTCCCTCCTTCTGACCAATCAAATTCCACTCTGATATCGCTTGCATTTGCTTTAAACAAAATCGCACCGCCCTGTCTTGACGGGAGGACGCCAATGACCACTTCGTGACAAGACCCGGAATGGCGAATGTTGTTAATTGAACAGCAAGGATAACCAACCCAGATTTTGTCGTCCTTCTTTGAAGGATCACGTTTTGGGTCATTACAGTGAATTGTATACTGAGAATCTTGGACCATCATATTGGTAACAGTTTCCTATCAAGCGATCATATGTCCCTAAAATACAATTGTGTGTCTGGTAATCTATACATCTGCATACCATACCACTTTTGATCTAAGGTCGTACACAATAGCTTATTATTTGTTCTCTTTCTAGAAGCTAAATTCTATGTATTATCATCATACTGCTGTACTTAATCATTGCATAGATTATTAAATTCAAAATTGAAATGTGTTCTCATGTATTACATGTAAATGAGACTAAACATGATCAGTTAATAAACATATTCATTTATATAATTTGTGAAATCATCTTTTATGTACAGTACGTTGATATAAATTCTTATTTTAAAGTGTCCTCTCATTGATGTTACATATACTCCATATGTATTTACTTTCTTGTACGTATGTATATACACATACATATACATTCTTCGTCAGCTAATGGTGTAACACTTAGTGACCTCGTTCTACAGACAAAGACACTTCTATGTTGAGTCCAACTCCTCCCTCTCTGATGATAAACTCTACCTGACACAAGAGCCTATCCAGACGGCACTGCGACAGGAGAGGCATGTGCCGCCTATAGAACTCCCTGCGATGCTTGGGCTGACGTGTGTGTCGTTGACACTTGAAGAGTCTGACTTTGCACAAACTGCTCTTTTCACCGACACCATATGCTATTCAGCACAAAGACTAATTATGTCCACACAGGTCTCATAATAATATTTGAACTATATACCACAGAGAAGCAGTTCATGTTGATGAAGGTAACACCGACTGTAATATTCGTCTATATAAACAGTTAAAGAGGTATATATTTATGAACGCACGAACGTACACACGCACGCACACACACACGCACGCACACACGCACGCACACACATAGATGTACCCTAGGTACAATGGCATATTCAGTTGAAGACCAAAACCCCTTTGCTTCACAGGACATACTAAAACACATGATGTTATAGACACAGGTAAGGTGAAGGATTGCCACAGGTAAGGTGAAGGATTGCCACAGGTAAGGTGAAGGATTGCCACAGGTAAGGTGAAGGATTGCCACAGGTAAGGTGAAGGATTGCCACAGGTAAGGTGAAGGATTGCCACAGGTAAGGTGAAG